TAACAAGCAGTCTGGCTTGTAGTAGGCAGCAGCTTGCTAAAAAGTAGAATTTCTAGAGTGGCTACCGAGCAATTTTCTGCTTGATGCTTGTTTTCAACCTGACTTGAGGGAGACGAGTCAACAATATTGATCTAATTGTTCTTTTTACTTTATACAAAGGATGTCATTTTCATTAACGGACCTTTGGTATATTTCCTTATTGAGGGTAGAGTTTGGAATTTGAACTGTTCGAGATATGTTTTGATTGCTGATTTATTATAGTACTTGAACCAGAAATGTTTTAGTGACATGGAACACAAGTAACATTTTATGACCTTTTGAGAATAGAGTTAAGATATTGCATCCATCCCAGTAAATGTCTTGATGCATGATTGCGATTAAACAGATATTTTGAGCCAGAATTACTGTAGTAATGGACTGGAAATTGCAGACAGCCTGCTCCGAAGTTGAGATGAAGCGAGAGCCAGACGGATTGTCTTTGACACCGTGAGAGCCAAGAAAGCTGAAAGCTGTCTGATGACCATCAGCCATATACATGTATGTACCTCAGGTGACAGTAGGCTGGAGCAGCATTTCAAGTTGATGGGACATGAGAAGTGCCCAGAGACATCAGAGACTTCATTCATGGCAGTTTGCATGAACTCTGAACCGTAGATATGTGTTTGTTTCTGGCATCACTCGTAGAAGTGAAGATTTTGTTAATTTGGTAACGAAATTTGAATTATTGTATGAATAAGAATCACACGTCCTAGGTGTAGTGACGAAAGCAACTGTTGATAGTAATTAATACTAGTAACCTCTGACTTCTGATATGCCATTAGTGGCTCTGATTGTTCCTTGAGGTATTGCTGTTGGAAAAAGTATTGTTCAATTTAATAAAATTTGAGAAGTGTAAATTGAACCTGTGGACATTATTTCCTCATGATTGTCATTGAGCATTGTTAAAGAAAGGCACTAGTTCTGACACACACATGTGGGTTTGTGTATTGTAACAGACAAAAGATATAGTGGATTTACCAACACAATAGCTTTGATAAACAAGAGGTTGAAACAACCGCAGCCTGTTTCAGTATTTAAAAAAAAAATTGAACTTAAAAAAATTCAACCAAAAGTTAAACATGAAAATATCAGAATGAATAAAAAACAATGACATTTCATGGATGTTACACAATTCAATCAGATTGACAAGAGTGCCGAAGATTGGCTGTTGAAAAACGTGTACAAAACCTACAGTGGAAAATTTGATTTTCTAAAATCAATAAAAAATTAGCTGATGGTTTAATCATGATGTCATAAATTAAACAAATTTTTCTTTTTTCAGGGTCTTGGTCAAACATCTCAAAGTTACTATAATGGTGGCTTGAAAACATGTACAAAATCAATAGGCTAAAAACACACATGCTGAAAAACTGCTCCTTTAAGTTGATGTCATGTGATTTGCATTTAAACTGAAAATTTTTTATGAAATATCCCTTGATATTTTGACTCTAGGCTATATTTGTAATCGAACGAAAGCAAAAATTTAGTCTGATTTCTCTTTTGTTCTCATAGTGATCTTGAGCCCATGTTAGTGTTAAGTGGAAAAACGTGAACAAAACCCATGGAGAAAAACTGCAGCTTTAATCTAATGTCATGTGACCCTCCATGATGTTATTTTTACGATTTCGTCCAGGGACCCCCTGTCCATGGTGGACTACATGTGTATACATGTAAATGGAATCAGTCAAATCGACCAGAGTGTCAAAAACTGGCTGTTGAAAAGCATGTACAAAACCTATGGGGCAAATTAAATATCCAAAAATCCATAAAACAAATAGTTCATGACATTGTCATAATGTCACAAATTAAGCACAATTCTTTTATCAGGGTCTTTGTTGGCTGTAGTTTTGGTGACCATCAAACATCGGGAAGTTATCAAAACAGTGGCTTGAAAAGGAATACAAAGTCAATGTGCTGAAATATATTTTGAAAAATCAATAATGAAATAAATACTGTTTCAAGGTCTTTGTTGGCTACCACTTTGATAACAGTCAAAGATCATGAACTTACCAAAAATCGATGGGGTATGTACTTTAGGAAATATAGAGTTTTATAAACGTGCACCTTTAATGCCCCGTGACTTATCATTTGATGATGCAATCATCACATGAGGTCAATATTCGCCTGAAGCACTTCCTTTCCAAGATATCAGCAAGGTTTGAACCCAATTGGGCATGCATTTGGATGCAGTGCTAGGATAAGTGTACCTTTACTGTCACATGATATAATCATCTGATAACCTCATCATCACATGAGGTCATTTCGTCTATAACACTTTCATTTCTAAGTACCTGTCAAGTTTCACCGAATTGGACATGCACTTCAGGAGATATAGTACTTTAAAAACATGCACCTTTAATGTCACGTGACTCGTCAGCTGATGATATTGTCATCACATGAGGTCAATCTCTGTTTATAAACCTTCCTGCCCTATCTGCAAGGTTTCAACACAATCAGACATGTACAATATAAAATACAACACAAAATATTATAGTTATCGCGGAAAGAGGACAGATTAGATATTTTAAAGGGGATGGGTCATGTAGGGTTAAATTGATATACTTTTCAACCGTCTTATACACAGTAAGTTGAATAAACCACTCTTTTATGCAATTAAATCAGCAAAAATTGGAGTTTTCTGAATGCTTTTTTCAATCTCTGCCTGAGCTCTTGGCAAAAACGTACTGAAATCGGTCATTGACGGCAGCAAACAAATCTTGGCAAAATTGTGACATCATTGGATGGACTCCACTTTCAAGACAAGGATGCATAGTTCCGGCAAGAAAGTCGATCGGTCTGCGCAAGAATAATATTCTCTGCTCTGGCACGTAGTCGAGTGTGCAACTTGGATGTGTCAAGTCATCCACATTTGGTCTTGTTTCCTATGCCCTTCTCTTAACACGAGGCAGAGCTATTGGACAACTAACATGACGTGTCGCGTTCATTCTGTTTTGCATCGCGTTTTACACTGTAATAATTTCTACAGTGAATTCTGAATTTCAAAAGAATGCAGATAAACTGTGTTGTCGGTAGCTTTTATCGCAATCAAACATTCCCGGGAGAGCAGTGTTCGTACATTCTCAACCGGCATTTCACATCAGCAATTGTAGGTTAGATTTGTGGATAACACACGATAAGTTTTTACGAGGACTCAAAATTCCCAAATGCATGTTCACATGTGCATTTTTACATGCGCATGTATATACATGTACGACGCGTAAATGATGTATTATGGGACTATATTGCACTAGTGCATCTTCTAGAACTATCTTCTAGTGCAATTAATGCCGCACGGTCATCATGCATGCGACGCATTGATGCCAAACAAGTGACGTGAAGTGCACTGTGAAAAAAACTGTTGGAATGAAACACCGACTTTGATGAATTAAGTACATGTAGGTGAGCCCTATAACCATGGACAAACCTACTTCTACCATACAGCTATCGAATAGCCAATGGTAAGACAATTACATCTTTTCAGAAACACCACAGGACAAAATAAAATCATGACCAGTCACTGTTTGGTTGTTTATTCTCCGGGTTGCCGCAGTGCCCTAGGCCAACAACCTCGAGTTGCAAAATCTCTTCCAGTGTCCTATGACGTCACGATTCTTGGGAATTTCTTCAGACAACTTTCTGTACCCATGGCTGTTGTTTAACTTTTGCTCCCAGAAGGGAGTGAAATATAGGGTCATGAAAACTATAATTGTTAACATTTTTCCGCGCATTTTGAAATTATGCAGTGTGTTTTCTTGTTACGTACATGTACATGTCTATGTTTGTTTTATGTATCGATGCATGTTTTACAAGAAATCTTCCCAGCACTGCCCATCCCCATTAAACATTTGTCTCTTTTGGCATTCCATACAATGCGATCTGCTCTAAATGCCATGTGTTTGGAAATTTGCTAACTCCTGAGTACATGCCCTATGCACATTGCACTGCCTGTATTAAAGGCATTTTACTCACATTTTACCCCAGCCACTTGTAAACAGAATATTGTGGGGGGCCACAGTTGATTTTATATGGAGCTTTAAAAATTAACATAACGTTATTTATTAACATATTTCTTAACAGAATTATATGTGCATCCAAGTGTGAATGCAGATTTTCAAGGAGCAATAAGCCAATAATATTCTTGACTAGATCTAGAATTGGAGGTACGGTACAGCACTGACATAACTACAGGAGTGGGTGGACTATGGGAGAGAGGCATATAACCCCCATGTGGAGGTCCATGCTCTTTCCCCATTTGAAATTTGTATGAAATTTTGAAATGTAAACAACCTATGTACAAGCTGCAGTGGATTGCTTTTGGTACCCTTCTACAAAAATAAGTGCGACCCGGGAGCTACCTTTGAAATTTCATGCAAGTTGGTTCTAGATTGGTTGACACATCAATCACACAGTCTCATCAACGAACCCTGTGCAGTTGTTGAGGGAAGATCTACACCACTGAGTGACATCAGTGTGTGCCTGCAGAATTTCTATTTGTAATTATACTTGGTAATGTCCTGAGACAGGTGCCCAAGCAAGCACAAAGAACTTTGTTTCCACTCACAATGAATGGTAGGGCAGAATTGGGGGACCAGATTCTATCCAGGTCAGAACAACTGTTGTGGAAGGCAAATCAATACGTCCATACCTCACACTCAAATTCTGTCACATTTTTATTGGGAATCCAATGGTGGAAAGAGCCACTGATATTTTATCACCTGTCTTCATACCCCAACACCAGCCTCCAGCAACAATCTCTATTTATTTATTCTTTTGATTGTCTAGGAAGGCTGCCATGTTGCATTACTCACCCGTTTCACTTTCAAGGTATGTTGAGGTTACACTACAATGGACTGGCCTGAGGGCTAGAGATACACATAGCTACATGCAAGGGTAAGTTTGTATGTAAATTTGCTCAATGTTATGCCACAGGAGTAACACATAAACCAAATGATATACCATACCTTTATTTGCTGCTTTGGTTTTCTTCCCTTCAGATGGACCATCAGTGTCTTCAGACTAAGAAAAACAGAAAGATCTTGGTTTCATAGTGATCACTAAAGTTTTTAAATTTACACATGTATACATGCTTTACTTGGCCTTAAAGTCATTTATGATATACATCCATAATGAGCACTTAAGATTATTACAGAGATGCTAGAAAACAAAATGAAAAAAAAACAGAAAATTGCCAACAAATGGAGCATTTTCAGTTGCTATTATGGAATAATTGTATCAAGTATTCAATCATCCAAATTCCAAATGTGCATTTTCATTGGAATTCTTGCTGGTATTTTAAAGAACAGTTTAAAGATTTATACAGCTAATTGATCGAAGAAGAACATCAAGCTCATATTCCTGGTCACCTTCGACATTTCTTCTCCTAATTCTATGGTTTGATTTACCATTTTTCAGATTCTTGAAATGAACCACATTTACAACCGTTACAAACTCTGCAAAGTCATCTTAACTCTGACTACGTATTTTCACATGAACCCTAACCTATTAAGGTAGCCATTCATTTTTAATTTTTGTGAGAGGGAAAAGCTACACATTCTTTGTTTGTGAAAGCAAATCAATAGCGCTTGCAATGTGAATGATCTGTCCTCCATTTGTGCCATACATTTGAGTGCTTATCCTCTGCCTCACTTTCCATAAGGAATTTCAGTTATCACAACAAATCAAAGAACTGCCAGAAATACACCCATTCCATGTTCATGTATAACAAGCTCAAGTTCTAAATAACACCCACCGGTTCAGGTAAATGCAAGCCATTTTTCCTACATAAATATGTGTTTGAATTCTTTCTACCTTGTCATCAGATAGCATCTGGACCTTAAAATGTACTTCAATTATACATGCCACTACAATTTAATAAGGGTCAAACCGCATGAGGCACATGTTTCTTTGTATTATATTAATTTAACAGAACAGAAAAGACTGACATGTTGAACATGCAACTGCTGTTGATATGGATTAAGAATCTAGAACTCAACTAACTCAGCTTGATAAGCCACAGTCATCCAGCTTAAGTAGTTTGACCGCGGGCAGTCTGCTCACCCTACCCCTCCCATGAAAAATCACATCAAAAGTGGAGGATTGCAGCGGTTCTGGCTAATAAATCTTATATCAAAATCAATCCTGAAGGCTGAAAGCTACAACAATCAGACATGACCTTCTGGTCCAGGGTAAATGTCCGCTTCAAACAAATGTAATATAGAATGTGATATCAAGTGGGTCAAAATTGACACAATGACAGCACATTATACAAGAACAAGGCTACAGTTGACCTGCTGCAAGCTAAGCAGGCAGCAGTTCAGTGAGGCTAAGGGCATGAAGGGCAGCAGTGTGATGAGAATTTAGTAGGGCTGCTCACCTAAATCATGCACCCCAAAACTAGCTGACGACTAGGAGTTTGAAAAGACTGTAAAATGTCACAGTTGTGGGAATAAACTTGTTCAACAACAATCACTGAGTCTACCACTTGAGTCCATAAAACCACTTGTGCAAGCCACACGAGTGCATTTAATACACCACTCTGAGCTGAGATTGAGAAGATGGCTTTTACTGACTGACGACAAGCTTTTACCAATGGTTGCCTGCTTATTATACCTTTATGGAATTAAACACACACAAGCATGTGTGTAAACGCCTTCAATCGTGGACTCCCTATCGTTCCTCTTTTGTTCATACTTTAACTTTTTCGGAAGACCTCCCATATATTTTGTACACATTTTCCAACCATGGATTTTTCGGCAACCGTGGACCCTATTGTCCCCTATTGTTATAGGCCCTTGATTGAAGGCGTTTACACACTCACACATGCCCACTTACCTTACATACCTACATGTACTGTAGACATTCCTTTCTTTTCGTGCAGTTAAGAAAACTCAGTGAAAATACTTGATTTCTTAAACTGGGAACATGATTTTCAGCTGTTTTTTTGTACAAGGTTCCCTTGACTATTCCTCTTCCTTTTACGACGATGACCCCTACCCCAAAATGCCTCCAATCCCCTTTTTCAGAGAAGGGGGAAATGTCCTGTGGACATGTGTAAGTCCACAAACACCTTCCTTTCCTGCATCGTTTGGACATCTTTTGTTTGCAAGTCCACACTAGGCATGTAAGGTTAGTGCACAAAAACAGTCTTGAAAGATAGAGAGATAACCTTCTGGTATTGTGGATACAAGAACATTCATTGCAAAGAGTGGCTTTGAGGCTCACAGGTGGTTGGTACCAACAATGGGGATGAATGGCTCTTCTCTGCCCAATTACATCAGCACTTGCTGGAAATAACATCCAGTTTGGTCAACAGACCTTGACATTAATTGATTATTCTACCACTTGTCCACTGGACCAGTCAATGCAAACTTGTCTGATGTGTGATTGTATTTGCCCAGGCAATTTTTGCCATAGATATTTACTGATCTGTGACCAAAAGCGGAGCCACAACATCGGGCCACGTTACCCGCATAAGTTTCAACGGGAATTTCTGAACTATGCATATCGGATTTTGAGGGTAATTTGCAGCATGCAAACAGCTCTTTCATTTTGTAAAATGTACATCTTTTTCCACTTTTTGGAAATAATAATACGAAACAAAAATATTTTCACAGTAGGATCTGGCCCATTCCTAACCATTTGGTCTATAAAAATAAAACCGAGACACAGTAACAGAGTGGGTAAACCCAGTGATTTTCGTCCAAAGCTCTTTTCGTGAGCACTAGTTCGTTTATGTGTTGGCATGGTTGCTGAAAACAAAGAATTCAAAATTTACCTCAAATTTCCAAAAGTGGGCTGGGGTGGAGAAAGGTGTGAAGATTTCAGATTTGTTGACAGTTTTTCGCTACATTTTTTCCTTTTCCTGACATGATGCATTTGCATATCAACCAGAACTCACCATTAACTATGTGTGTACAAAGTCTTCCAAATGAGAATACTCAATAGAGGATGAGCAAGTTGCTAAGGACTTTCCTTTAAGGTTTACAGGGGTCTGGCCAAGTAACTGCTCTACCTGTTTTGAATCATTTCTGCACGTCAAATGGAAATGCAATGTATGTCAGCCCCCATCTTTCTGCCTGTACATGTTCCAAAATTTGTGCATATAAACTAAAACGATTTGGCATCCTGACACAAGGGCATTTACAATTAATTTTGTGTGGGTTTTCCTTTTGTGGACAGGTTCCATGCTAAATGTAAAATGTGCATCATGCCAACTTCATGCCCAGTGTTTACTTTAGTTTTAGCATAAAATCGAACAGTAACACCTACATGTACATGAGTACACTGTTTGACACGATGGGGACAAGGTTGGCATATTACACGTGACATGCCTACTCTGTAAATTTATGGAGGTTGCATGCAAGATATGTAAATTATTTTGAGACCAAAACATACTCGAAAACATTTTTTTGGTATGAAGAGGGAACATAAGTCAAAGGTAAAGTTTGTGGATACTATTTTAGGCTGTGAAACACTGCACTTTTGAAACAAAAAAGTACCTGTCCATTGGGCAACTTGTCCTGAAATTTTCTTTGCCTGGAATAATAAATTCCTTGTCCCAATCCATTCCGCAACTATAAATGTCAAGGTCTGCTGGCTAAGCTCAAAGGAAACGGGTAATTATATTGAATTGTAGGGAGGTTCAAAGCGACAAAATTGGGAATACAAATTTGTGATTTTGTAATTACCCATTTTAAGATTTTCTATATACATGTATTATCCTTGCTCTGATTTTTGTCGATTATCTCTGGTAACAAAATTGTATATATTGTGCTCATTTGTACTACTGCAGTGCCACCTCTGCTGGAGTTATCCAAAACACTCACTAGAGGTCACACACAACAAATGAACTTCAACTTATTTGAATTTTGTACACGTAGTTCGTGATGGTTTGAAATTTTAAATATGGCACATTATTTTTGGTTTTATTATCAAAATTATTCATTTTTTCCCAATTCTGCTGTCTAAAAATTCCTGTAGTCAAAGATCCAAGCCCTGCTATAATAATCAACCGGACATGTATTGTATGTATTATACACAGTCTCTTAGATAGCATGGGCTGCACAGCCGTGCCTGCCCAATTTCAACAGGTCAGGTCTCTGACCGCAACAATAAATCTCAAGCACAGTTTTGGCAGTGAAGGGTGTGAGTTCCACAGACCCACCAATCCCCTACTCTCCAACCCCACTCTGAATCTGTGTGCCTCCTTCCAAGTGCCCTGGAGGGGAGTTTCCCACCCAGCACAAACTCCACCCCCTACTGGAAGACGCCCAAGCCTCTTCACAGAATAAATAAAAAATAACATCTTTCTCATTACACATGTTTAATAGTGTGTGCAAGTTTTGAGAAAAGGTACGTTTCAGTAACTTATTACTGAAAGATTGACTTTAGACAACGTAAACAGAAACCATGTAAACGATATGACAGTAGTGACAATTAGTATTGCTCACGGTATCATATCGTAGTCTCCACTTTAGTAGGAAAAATGTTTCAAAAAGTCTGAAGTGTACATGTGATCACTTTGCAAGACTTGCATCATCATGTAAAACAGCTTTACAGAATTAAAGATGCAGTTGTTTTTTCAAAAGGAGGATTTAGAGTGCCTACTTTCAGTTGGAAACAAATGAATTCAGGTTTAAAGATAAATAAGGTTTTCTTGCTCTTGAACTTATGTGCAAACGTTTGCAGAAGTATGCATTAAAATATACTGCATCTCTCTCCTTTTGTATATTCATTCCCATGTTGGAGCATGTTTAGGTTACATAAATACTTGAGAAGTAAAAATTTCCATGGATTGATTTATTTTGACCATGCCCAGTATTCAGATTTTTTTTCAGGATTCTGCATTCGCATGCTAATAAAAGGTGTATTGCCCACACTATACATATGATTATGTTTTCAACACTTCAAATGCAAGGTCCCTTTTGGCTGAAAGAACAAACACTAGTCATTGCTTTATGAAACCACAATTTTTTTGACACAGCATAGTAAAGACATCCAAGGGCCTGGTAAATGTTAAGATGCCTGCCAAATGTATCAAGACAGCGGAAAGAAAATGTCAGTGACCATTATTGTTAAGATGACTCAGCTTAAGTTCTATTATAGGCCATCAATGATCCCAGTGCTCCCCAGATGAATGCCAGATGTACAAGACAAGGAACTGCTGGTAGTATAGGCAGCTGCAAAAGGTTCAACTTTACATACATGAGAGAAATAATTACCAGAACACAACTACATCTACTGCATTTCTGTGCATTTGGAAGGTTACAGTGTGCTCCGAGGAAGCTATTGAAAGAAAATCCTAGATGCTACATGTGATCTGTGGGATACTAAAAGAATGGAAGGTGTCGAACTGACAAGCAGGTATAAAGTTAATCAACAATTATCAACTGAGACCACAGAGACCACCTACGTTTTTTCCCTGGGCTATAGCTGCTGCTCGAAGGTCACTCAGTTGTTGCTGAAGCTCTTCTATCTCTGCTTGTTTCTGTTTCCTCTGTAATGCTTTTTCACTTTGCGCCTTGGCCTACATAAACCAGAAAACTCGATTACTATCAATGTATATTCACAGTGCCATTCCATATTGCAGCTCTGAACCTAAGGTCATGTGCTTTGTGGGGGAGGGGGGGACACTTCACATGCTTTTATGCCCCTTCAACATCGTTGTCTGGGTTTCCTCCTGTGGCATAAAAGTTGGGAGGTCAAAGTTTAAGGAACCTTAAACCATGTGCCAAATGGGTTTTCTCATTTCACCAAACAATTCTATGACATTTTAAACCAGGACATGAATGTTTCTTAGAATCACTTTTTGTTTATCTATGTACTCTTCTTCCCTGTATGAATACTGTTTGTCGTCTTTTTGGAGTTTCGTGAACTGAACCGTGCACTTTTTCAAACATTAAAAATTGACCAAGCATTTCTGGACAAGTGAGGGCCCTTTTGCTCTGATGTAAATCCAGGAAGATGTGGTTCAGGTTGCATGTTTTCATGTTCAAATTGTGAATCCCAAATTTGCTAACTGGAAGCATTTCTGTGAAAAGGAATTTTGCTGGATTATTGCCATATACTTACACAGCAATAAATTGCCAAAGAAAATAAAATCTGTCATAGCAGTGGTTAAAAAAATCTAGAAATTTTCTGTGCACAAATCAGTAAAACATTGAGATTCCGTTCCTTAGATGACATCATAGTTCTGCTCATGAATATGCAAATATTCATCAGCATAAAAACAAAAAAAATCAAAATATGGGTTAAAATTGCAAAACAAAAATTTTAAATCAGGTTCATTGAAACCAAAAGATGCAATTTAAAGGACTGTTGGTAAAATTTACAAAAATATTTCTATTTCCTTGTTCCTTTAAGAAAACCTATGAGATTCAAGCTAAACACAGAAGTAGCTACGTAAGGAAAAGAAATGGGTCAGCCCGTAATACTGCTGCTCTGAAAAACGAATTAGCTCAAGTAACCCGGGTTTCTGTAACCACATGTGAAAGTGTAAATGTGCGATATTCACAGTTCATATCCAAGTTAGTTGATCTGATTAATAAATGCCTTAAACCAAATGCAAATCTAAATCCAAACAATCAAAAATTCTTGGATTTCTAAAGGCTTATTAAAATCTATAAGTACGAAAAATAAACTTCGTAAAATATAAAAAAATAAATGAATGAATAAACTAAAATATAACAGATATAAAAACAAATTAACTTCTACAATTAGAACATCCAAGAAACTGTTTTATTCCGCTTCCTACGAACGAAAGCCAACGTTAAAAATACCTGGAAAATCATCAATGAGATATTGAATAGAAAACTTAAAAATACCAAGCCCTTTCAACCAATCAAGATTAACGATTGTGACTCTAATGATACTAAATTGATTGCTGAACACTTTAATCAATACTTTACTGATATCAGTAAAAAATTTGCCTCAAAAATTCCTCCGAGCACTTCTGACCCTTTAAAATGTTTAAAAGGTAGCTTCCCTAACTCCCTGTTTTTGAGCCCACTTACACACGAATAACTCTTTGATTGTATGAGAAACCCTCCTAATAAAAAAGCACAGGTTATGATGAAATTGGTAATAGTCTTATTAAAAATATTGCTCCTTTTATTGTTCAACCCTTAACTGATATTTTCTATCTTTCTTTAATATCTGGTGAGGTTCCTGACCAACTTAAAATTGCTAAAGTTATTCCAGTCTTCAAAAATGGGGGTCGTTCCCAGGTCAATAATTATCGCCCTCTATCTGTTTTGCCTTGCATCTCGAAATTGTTGGAACAATTAGTTGCTCACCATCTTAAACAGTTCATGGTTAGATTTAATATACTTGCACAATGTCAATATGGATTCAGGGCCAAACATTCAACTCATCTTGCCCTGATTGATTTATTTGATAAAGTAACATCTAGCCTAGACAAACTGGAACATACAATTGGTATTTTTTTTTTAGATCTTCCGAAGGCTTTTTGGTACAATCGACCATGATATTCTGATCTCTAAGTTATGTACATATGGTGTCAGAGGTACCACCTTGAAATGGTTTAAAGATTATTTAAAAAATTGAAAACAATTTGTTGTCTGGCACAGTAACAAGTCCAGTTACAGACCAATTACCTGTGGCGTACCACAAGGCTCAATATTTGGCCCTATCCTATTTTTTATTTATATTAATGATATATGTAATTCTACCCAACATCTAACATTCATCTTATAAGCGAATGACACAAATATATTCTGTATTGGGAAAAACTTAAACGATACTGTTGATATAATGAATAGTGAACTGATGAATGTATTTGAGTGGATGATATGCAATAAATTATCCTGGAACATCAAGAAAACTCACTTAATGGTTTTTAAGAATCGAACTGTGGACAAAAACATAAAGATTCATTTCAGTGGTAATCGTATTGCTCATGTTGAATCTTGTAAATTTTTGGGTGTCATTATTGATGATAAATTAACATGGAAACATTACTGCCAGAGAATTCTTACACTTATTTCTAACAATCTTTGTGTTCTTAGAAAAATTAATCATTTTGTCCCATCTCATATTTTGCTTTCTATTTATAATACCTTATCTCTGTCTCATCTTCAAGACGGTATACCGGCTTGGGGAAATACTCATAAAACTTGAAAAATTGTTTGTAATTCAGAAGAAATTGTTAAGGCTTATAAATTATTCTTGCGTTAAAGATCATTAGGCCGTGTTATTTGTCAAATTTGATACTTTATCTATTTACGACCTTTACAAATATCATTTGTGTGATCTAATGTGTAAGTTTGGAAAAGGAATACTGCCTCTGAATATTAAATTTCTTTTTGCAAGGAACACTGATATTCACAATTACAACACCAGGTCTTCAAATAAGCTTCATTTTGATAAAGTCAGAATATCTATTCGCCTTTCAACTGTCAGATACCAGGGACCCCTTCTCTGGAACCAAATCAGATCTCTTTGTCCAATGATGACAAGTGCAACTTGTAAAAGGCATTATAGGAAACTTTTATTAAATGCAGCGGACAATTGAGAGTATGATTTCTTCTAAACAATGCCAAAGTTGTACTTACACATTTTAAAACCTGTAATTAGGATTTTGTGTCATTGTTGTATACAGCTATTTACTAACTTGAACTAATGAAGACCTTCACACATTATTCTGTATTATTAATTTTGATAGTTGGTTCTCTCGAGAATTGTAAATTTACATGTATTTTCTTGCAGGGGGCAGACCCCATACAAGCTTCGGCTTTTTGTCTGACCTCCATCCGTACTATTTAAATTACTTTCATTACAGTGTACCTCATATTACTGAAATTTTGTTTATACTCAAACTCCTGAAAGAATAGGAACACCAACAAGGCAGTTTTAT